ACACCCAGCTAGCGAAAATGCATGTGTCGGACAAAGCACTAACGGGACCGGAGATCATCCGTGAAACCACGGAAAAGATCGTTCAAATCAGAGCTCGATTGCAAGCATCGCGTGACCGACAAAAGAGCTACGCCGACAAACGACGAAAGCCCTTAGAATTTCAGGTCGGTGATCGAGTACTGTTAAAAGTCTCGCCCTGGAAAGGGGTTATACGTTTCGGAAAACGGGGAAAGCTGAACCCGCGATACATTGGACCTTTCGAAATCATCGCTCGAATTGGTCCAGTAGCATACAGACTGCAACTACCCGCAGAGCTAAACGGTGTACACCCCGTGTTTCACGTATCTAATCTGAAGAAGTGTCTCTCAGATGAAACACTCGTCACTCCTCTTGACGAAATCGAAATCAATGAGAAACTCCTGTTCGTTGAAGAACCAATCGAAATCATGGACAGGGAGGTAAAGCGTACTAAGCAGAGTCGCATCCCAATCGTGAAAGTACGGTGGAACGCAAAGCGTGGGCCAGAATTCACTTGGGAGCGCGAAGATCAAATGAAGCAAAAGTACCCTCACCTATTCTAGTTTTCTCAAATCTAACTTTCAAACAGAATTTCGGGACGAAATTCCCTCTAACGGGGGGATGATGTCACAACTGGAAATTTTGTGTCATGTAATCTATACATTCAAGCTAATGTGAATCAAAAACTTCAATCAAATACATTATACAAGTACTACAAGTAGTCATCAAACAATTGGAAAACCCTAGAAGTTCTTGTTAAGTCTATTTGGACTAGAACTTCCTTATTGGATCCAAATGGACCAATAAGCTTCCAATTGGACTATCATGGGCTTAGAACCCTAATTGGGCTCTAATTGGACCCACATCTATTTATTTCAACATTTTGGGCCACATTGGGCCTAGAATGAAATAAATACAAAATTTTGAACCATGATTAACCTAAACTAGCCCAACAAAGTGTAAAAATCATACTATATTTCTTTTGGGACTAAAAACCATCCAACTTAACATCTACATGGGTTTAGGGCATTAAAGCCCAATTTTTCTCCTTCCATTCCAAAAATCTCGGCCCAAGGCCCAAAACAAGCCCAAGAGAAGAGAGTTGACCTTAGTATGCCACCTCATTATTATCCATTGGGTATCCATGCAAGTTAGTCCATATTTCCATGCAACATCACTTCAAAATCACCTCCACTCCTCTCTCTTCTTGAACTCGGCCGAGAGCAACACCCCACACACACAAAACACTCACAAACTCTCTCTAAAATTCACTCAAGGCTTCTTCTTCTTCTACCTCCAAAATCTCGAATTTTAGAAAGCATTCAAGGAAGTTCTTCCACAAAATCATCATCTAAGGTAAGGTTTTGCTTGGATCTATGACTTGTATTCCATATTTATCAAAAATCTCTTCCTAATCCATGCAAAAATCATGATCTTGCACTCTAGAAAATCCCATAAACTCGAAAATTTCATCAAGGAGTGCAAAGGCCAAAAATCACTTCATTTCTTCCATTCTTTCTTCAAAAACCGAATCAACACCCAAGGTGAGTTTCATATCCCCTTATTTTCGGTTTTTATGAGTTTTTGTGGGGGAGGATACAAGAAAAAGTGTAGATCCATCATTATGTGTATGTTGTGGTTGATTTCTATGCTTATGTGTATGTTTTGTATGATTTTGATGATAGATTTAGTATGAAATGCTAAAAACCGAGACTTATATCTTATTATGGCATAAAATATACTACTTCATTGCAAAGTATACTAAGAAAATGGCTAAATAGCTTGACAACACTTAACTTGGGCTAAAAACTCATTTTTTTGACATAAAATGTTGAAAATACAAAGTTAAAGGGCCTAAAGTGAAATATTTCGAAATCTGATGGGTAAGATGAGTCAAAACAGTTTACACAATGTATTTTCTGAAAATATACTATTTAGAGGGTTAAAAACATAAATTCCAAGCTTATTGGGCTAAATATGACATTTTCGGCCCAATAAGGCCCAATATGCGAAATTTTCTAAATTGGAGGGCCAAAACTGCATTTTTCTGTAAAACAGTGGACTATAAGTGTTCCATATGCTTTTCAAAGGTTTAAAATGCTTTCCAAATTTAAAAGGGACCAAAGTTGTAAATTTTTCCAAATTGGGTCAAAAATGTAAAAGTTGCGAAAAAGAGGGGCTATAACCGAGAAAACTGAAGTTTCAAGGGCTTAAACTGTTTTCTATGATAAATATGCTGGAAAATACTTATTTCAATAATTTTTGGTATAAAAATGTCAAGAAAATTGATTTAAGGACCAAACCGGAAAGTTTTTAAATAAAGGGGTAAAAAGAGTAAATTCTACAATTAAGGAGGGGCTGAAAACAGAAAATCTTCAAGGTTAGTTAATACATGAAATTTGACCAATTGATGGTACCACGCTCGTCGACGAAATACAATATACTACAATACCAAAAGTCGTTGTTAAACGAATTGGTTCGGTCTCGAACCAATAAAAATCCAAAACCACTAACACGACGACGTTACAACATTTCGATTCATAACAAATAACGATGGAGAATTCACTATACATACGAGTGTGCGCAGACGTCTATGCACCATCTTTGGGCCCCAAAAGTGTAAAATCTTGTTCGTTGAGCCTAGCTAGCCCAATGACCTGATCTTAAGGCCCGAAGATCTCTCTCTCTCTTACGAAGTGTTGGGTTTTACCGATCCGACATAACGTAACAGGACTTTCAATGGCAAACGTGCTGCTGGTCCCCAAGGGTCCTTCAGTGCTGCTAGTAAAGTCGGTAACTCACGATTGCGGGTTGGGCTTCGGGCCCTTCGCAATTGCATTTGTCCTGAACGACGCGGGGAAATACCGAGGGTTTCGCACCTTCTCTCCTTCCCTCCGGTCGTGGGATTACACAAGTCCGGGAGGATCGAGTTGTGTGAAGAATTACGAGTGGCACCTAAGGGGATCGCTTGTAAGGTTGTCGATTGGACGTTTTCATTAACGTACGTCACAACACTTCACCACCCATTGTATTCTCAATGCCTCCGGAACTCAACGATTTCCCTAACGAAACGAAACAACGGTATACAAACTAAGTAATACAAAGTGATAGGAAAACGTCGGGTTTTCCTAGGGTTTTCAACAATTACAACTTATGAATTACCGGTCGAATTTTTCACAACTCTTACGCTTACATCTATAGAATTCAAACATGCATACTCATGGATCAACACATATTTTTACACTATTCTATTATTAGAAAATATCGGATTTTCTGACGGGTTTCAAACATTACATTGGATTCCAAACTCTACTTATGAACTCACCAACATTTCGTATGTTGACATTTTTCAAAATACTTGTATTCTCAGGTAACAGATAAGGTGACGGATGATTTATACTCTATGATGTTTGCTGTGGTTTAAGTGATGTTGAACAGTTATTTTGAGAATGTAACGTTTGAACAATGTAATGAATGTAAACACTATTGGTTGTACTATTCCAAATGTTGGTGATGTTTTATGTTATGTTTCATGTATATGCATTGTAATGGTATTCAATGAGTCACGAAAGCCCTCGGACGTTTCCGCCGTCTGGTTCGGGGGTGTGACAGTAACGCCCAGTATGTGGTTTATATGTTATTGTATGGTATGTGATAGATTGGGGGAGCTCACTAAGCTTTGTGCTTACAGTTTTTAGTTTTGGTTTCAGGTACTTCCGCTAGCAAAGGGAAGAGCTTGAGATGATGGCATCATACACATCACAATTTCAGCTTTTTATCCTGGGAGTTTATTTTAGATATTATGATATGTTGATACAGTTCTTTTTGTTATGACACATCTATTATAACTTTTGGGATTTGTGACGTACGGTTTCATTATATTGTGGATGATGGGTAACTTTTAGTACTATTTAAACAAATTTTTTTGGGTCGTTACACTATATGTTGTCATGTAGGATAGCCTAAGAACTCTTGATCTAGGCTTTCTTGCCCATTCCTTGTTTGGTTGTGGCTCTAGATTAGGATCATTTGTTCGGTTGACTATCTCACATATGGTTACTTATGGTTACACATTTCATGGAAGTTAGTTGGTAACAGGACAGTGTGTTGTGTGAGGACTAGTAGGTGGTAGTGAGCTGTGTGATTGCTGGTTTCCTATATTATGTGCCTACTTGATCCTTGTTTGTTTATATGTCGACATTGGTAATAGTGGGTTGATGTGTTCTACTTTGTGCTGTAGGCCAAAATATCCGATATGGGCTGGCTATAAGCCCTAGACACGAATGCTTGGGAAGAGCGGTTAGGTTGAGGCGGTAGGCCAACAAACCCCGGGTATTCTAGCCAGATGGCTGATTGGACCCGTTGCATGTTGACATTTCAGTCCAATGACTGGTTGGGCCTAGGCATTCCAACCGGGAGGTTGTGGGCCGTTGTGCATGCTTATATATTTATAATATGGGGTATTCTAGGAAAAACTCACTAAGCTTTATGCTTACTCAGTCGTTGTTGTTTTTCAGGTATCAACGTGATCATGGGAATGTGAAGGCGGGACTGTACACACTTATCAGCAACATTGAGGATTCCGCGTTCATTATAATATTCTGATTTTCAATAATTGTAATTAGGAATAAATTGTTTTCTTAAAATGGTTTCATAATTGGGAAGTTTTATTTTAGTAAAAATGAAAATATTTTGTTTTCGAAAATCGGACGTTACACCATAATTGCAGATCGATGAGACTTGAACCCTTAATCAGTTTGGGCTGAAGGACACCAGATCAACACTTGATACGGGTGAGCTAAAAAACTTTGGTTCAATAATAATTAAAAATAGAGTTGTAGAGACATGAGATGTTATAGTGCGACTCTCTATTAAACTCTCTATTCTCTAGAACTTAATGTTGTTTTAAGAACTATTAGTGACCTCTAGGATATCAAAAAAAAAAAAAAAAAAAACTTACTAAACATTTAAATTGGAACCTCATGGGTCCTTTACAGCACAAAGTAAAAGCCCCATCGACACTTAGGGTAACCTCTTTTAACTTTGGTTATACTTGTGTGATGGACTTGAGCGTGATAGGTATGTTATATCGGATAAAGCAAAATCATCATGGGCACAAGTATTTTCATGGTGTCTATAATGCGTAGACAAAATTGGGGTGACGGTTGGTGATTGTCAGAAAGAGATGGCCCTCATCGACACCACATTCACTAGCTTGCACTGAACTATGCCACCATTCTATTAATTGTGAGAACTTTTGTTATATGTTATTTGATATATCTCAAGTAATATTTAATCCTTTATTAAATAATGCTCAAGATTTGGATTTGATTTGAAGATTTATAGATTATCTTGTGAAATAATATATTAAAAATTTAAATGAACAAAACCGACCTTTCTTCTTATGCGCTCTTTGACAACTCACATGATTATAATATTTCCTCTTTTTGCTTTTACCTCATTCAAAAGTCGTTAGCTCATCAAGATGTTTGATCAATGATGGTATAAAGTCACATATCTAGAGAGAGAAGGATATATCTTACGAAATCTATATAGAAGTGTAAAACAGTCGAGGAGCTAGAGCTAGTGATAACAATGCATGGATTCAAGAAACTGGTTCTATCAACTATGTCTACAATTCTTCTTGCACTTCATCTTCTACCCTTTGTTGTATCTTCATCCAACGAAAACCATCTCATCATTCCTCACAAATACATCAAACAGGATTCCGATAACCACAAGGTAAGTAACAAATCATGCCTCTCAATGTTGTTTTTTCATTTTGGTTTTTTCTGGTGTCTGTTTGCACTGATTAGCTAGGCTTCCTGCATGATCGATGATGCAGATGAGTCCACGTTTGATATTTGAAATAAAGATTCATGGGATTCTGTTGTGGGCTTCCATGGGGTTCTTGATGCCTCTTGGTGTACTCATAGTAAGAATGTTTAACAAAGAAGATTGCAGCCCCAGAAAGCTTAAAGCTCTCGTATACATTCATGCTATTCTTCAGGTGATCTAATCACTAATCTTTTTGTTTTTATTACAGCATTCAAGATCAGATTTCTTCCCATAACCTTTCTCACTTTAGGGGAATAAAATTGTGTTTTGTTTGTTCAAAGTCACATGCCTTTATCATTTATGGGTTTCATCTCTTTTGCCTTTGCCATCATTGCTTCACTTTAATCATGCATTTGAATATTAATTAGAGAAAGACGAGTGATGATGATTGCTGTGACCACAAGTTTAGGTGGTCTATCACATCAACCAGATTACCTTTAATCCATATTGCGTTAATCTTTCTTTTGCTTTTAATGTAAAAACTAGAGGTAATCCCCATGCACCAAAGTCCGTTATATATTGCGATGTTTGGTGAGGAATTATTTAACGTTCTTTATCTCTTTCTCTTTGCAAAAAGCCTGTGTTCGTGACTTCCCACTCGCAAATGACTAACTTGATGGCTTTCCCATTCAAATTACAACACTAATCTTCGAAGCTTGTGAAACTTTTTGACAATAAAACTTGTTGAAAATTCACAGAAACCAACATAAGAAAGTGTAAATCAAATCGATATTGATTTTATTACTTTTGAATGTGTGTGAAAAGATACTTGCAGTGCTTCTTGCATTCGCTGGAGCAATCATGTCTATAACGAGCTTTGAAAACTCATTCAACAACAATCACCAGAGAATAGGTCTTGCACTTTATGCTGCCATCGTTGTGCAAACCCTTGCAGGGTTTCGAAGGCCTAAGAGGTAGCGATTACATTCTTAATTACAAGAAAAAACTATCTTTCGTAACAATGGTAATTAAATAATAACAAAATAACGGCTGCTTAATTGGTAGGGGGACTAAAGGAAGGACCTTATGGTACGTTTTCCACTGGATATTAGGGACAACAGTCTCACTAGTTGGGATCGTGAACACCTACACAGGTCTAAAAGCGTATCACAAGAGAACATCAATGAATGCAAGGGTTTGGAGCATACTCTTCACTGTTGAGGTCTCTTTCATGGCTTTCTTCTACCTATTTCAAGAAAAATGGGGTTACATGCAGAAACAAGGAGTAAAATCAGGTGATGAACCCGTCATAGTGATACCTTCTCATCAAGTGGAGAATCAAAAAGAGGTATTACCACCTCAGCCATCCAGGAAGAGTAACTCATTAGGGAATTACTTTGCCAAAAACAATGCTTTGAAGAAGTTATTTCAAGTAACGTAAATACGTATTGGCGATTTTTGGTTTTATGTATATCATTCCATGCTTGCACAGTTGCACTCGTTTGAATGGTGATAATGTGTGATTTGGTAACAATGTGTGTTTGTACATTTTAGAGAGAAGAGATAAAACTAGGAAGACTAACTTATTTCTTGTCATATGATTTGAATTGCTAAGATTGTATGTGCGTATTATAGTCACTATTAGAAAAACGCGACTACAACACCAATAATGTCCGTTGTGTATCATGTGAATAGAAAACAAAACACCAATGTTTTGCATAATAGTTTAAGAAACAATGCAACAAACTTTTTTTTACCATCGACGTATTAGTAATTATTAGTTGCTTAATCCATTTTATTGTAGATATATCATGATCGTTTCTGATGAATGGATATTTTCTCAGAATGAGATATCTTCAATTCGTTTTGACTACTCAGTTTTAACCATGTGCGTCAATATTGCCATCGAGCCTTACAACTGAATGTATTCTGATTCATTACTAACAATCATATTCACATCTCCCTGTGAATAAAGTTGAAAATGTTGTAGTATGTTATATATGAACTTTATACTGCAAGACCAACTTATATTGTACAATCTATCTAAAAAGTTTTAAGTTTCTAAGCACCGAATAAAGTTGAAAATGTTGGAAACGATCAAACAATAAAAAAACAATTGAATCAGACGCGAATAAGAATTAAAGGTAGTTACCTACTGTACCAATTAAAGTAAACTATTGATTTATATACCAATATACAATTGAATCCTTTAAAAATAAAACAATAAAACAAGATCGAAAATATCGAGCCTTTAAAAATTGAAAACAATAAAAGTTGAAACTATTAAATAATAAACACAAAGTTAAAAGAAGAAAAAACAAACGTTAAGTATTGAAAATCTGGGGGTCTTTTATTTTTTTCTCGTGTAATCGTAGAGTGCTGACCAAAAAAGGGATTAATTTATCCACCATAATATTGAGTTATCCTCTTGTTTTTGCAGTGCGGGATGTCAAAACGTTTCGTAGGACCCCGTTTCCGTGTGGTACCCGTCCTGTTTCGGGGAATTTTTTTAAAAAATTCGGAGGCGTGGACGGGGGTGGGGACAAGGTTAACACCTGTTTTAGTTTCGGGGGCGAGGGCAGGGGTATGCAATCCCTTCCCGAAACCCCATGGGAACCTCGTTAATATATTAAACATATATTAATTGTATAAAGATAATAAGCAATAATATGATTTTGAGCTTCCAAAATTCATTAAAAAACATGTGTTAAGTTGTTAGTATAATGTTTTTAAGATGTCATAACTTTTTTATTTTGAACATATAAAATTCTGCTATAAATAATTATTTGTTACCTAAAAAATAGTTTTTTTAACCTAAATAATAACCTCTTTTAGCACAAAAAAGGAAGTCCAAAATCAATTGGGGTGGGGGTTATGTGTTGAGGTCGAAAGATATTGTGACGTGTCAAAGTCTATCTAGGTCTTTCTTAGCGTCGAAGTATGTTTGTATGTATGTTTATTATAAGGGCATTTTGTATCGAAGTTAAAGGGTTTTAGTCCCTTATTTTTTGTACGCTTTCCTTATCCATATATATATATATATATATATATATATATATATATATATATATATATATATATATATATATATATATATATAGGATGAATACTAGAGTTTGAGAGGAGTTGCATTCGACTTGTATTCTCTGATATTTCACTGTATTTTCCAGAAAGCATAATCGAGCCAACCATATTATATTTAGATCTTGTGTTCTTAATTCTTTTTTAACTTTGATCTCTTATTACATACTCGATTAAATCATAACTACATTTGGTAGCAAAGTAGGATTCACTTAATTTTGATATGATTTTCGTAAGTTTTCAAAAAGGTTTGAGTCTCGTTCTAAATTAAAAATATTCTGCTCTTTTGATTCTGAAAATCATCACAAATCATCTGTTTTGATTCGATTCTGCTTACGGTTTGTTAGATCAAGTATTTTGTGCCGGTTTTCTGGAAGAATTGTCAATCAAATCTCAGTTTCTGAAGCTTTTCACAAATTTCGTCTGTACAACAATGGAGAACTTTGTCATGAACACCATGACTTCATACTCTCATCTTCTTGGTTCATCCATTAAAAATCCTATGTTGATTCTTGAGTTCAATGGTCAATGGGTTGCTCGAATGTATGACAATTTGAATGTAATAGCTAAGGATAGGTGGAAATGCATCATTGGTGATGTTCTTCCTCCTACTGTTGTACAAAGTGTTGGAAATGCTGCTAATAATCCAGATGTTGCTGAATAGACTGAAAAATTACAAAAAAAAAAAAAAATGAAAAGAAATGTATGTGTGAAGTCCGTGGTGCTCTTCCTCCAGTTGTATACAATTACGTGCACAACTGTAAAACCTCTAAGGAAATTTGGAATACACTAAAGGAGAAGTATCAAGGTAGTGAGAAAACAAAGATTAACTTAGTCAAACAGTGTCTGCAGGAGTTGAGAGAGTTTAAGTAGAAGGAAGGAGAATCCATTGAGCTATACTATGCCCGTCTGAATTAACTCATATTCAAATGTAATAGATATGGAGTTACAAGTCCTACAATGGAATTCAATCTAACATTTATCATGGAACTTCGCAAAGAATGGAGAAATGTCAGCCTTATGATAAAGACACAATAAAGTTTCGACTATTTTTCACTGAATGGATGTGTTAAAAGCACATGAATCTGAAGTGAATGAGATTGCTGATGAAGCAAGGATCAGTCTGGGTGGTCCTCTTGCTCTTGTGTCGAAGGTTGCTGGAAGAGATGTTGAGAAAGAAATTACTGAGAAGGAGAATTCGGAAGATGAAGGCTTGATCGTCAATTCTAATGATGAGGCTATGGCTTTTTACTCAAATAATCGAGTGAAGAAATTCTTCAAAATGCCTTTTAATTCGAAGCCACGAGCAAGTGAAGCAAAAGGAAGTTTTTATGGAAAGCTTGTGGATGAGGAAAAGAAATTGGAGAAGAAGGATGTCAAGGTTGAAGATGCGAAGATGGAGAGAAAACTTAAAGGTGATTCAGGATTCGACTACAATTACTGTAATGGAGTGACTCACATGGCAAATGATTGTATGCTCAAGAAGAGGGGTAAGAAGAAGAATAGAGTTAAGGATAAAGCCTATTACATTGGATGCTTGAAGAATTAAGAACAAAGGTGATTGGAATGTCCTTAGTTACGAAGGGAATGACTGATGAAGATGTGATAGATCAGGTATGGTCATCAGGTTCAGATCACAATGAGATGTAAAACCATACTCACGGAGCGATGTTCACGAGTTTTGAGGAAGAGGATGAGTAGAAAGTCTTTGGGAAGTGTTTTGTTTCAACATTTACTCAAAAGTCTCCCATGACTTTGCAGGTACATTCTCTTCTTCAACCATTTAATATTCCTTCTAATTCATATAATTCGGTTTTATCTGAGTTTGATGAAGCTATTACTTACGTTAATAACCTGCTTATTTTTGCTAGTGGTGATGCCACAAAGTTCAACACACAACTACTAGACACTCATAGGATTTTGGATACCAAGAAAACCATGATAGATGAATTAGATTTACAATTGACTCATGTAATTTGTGACTGTGACAATATATGATCTATAAATAAAGATTTGCATAAACAACGAAACATTTATTATAACACTGCTAAAAGTTTGTATGGGAAATTAACTGCTTTACATCATTCGTTTGGTATTAGCAAAGAACAACATAGGAAACTTTTTCCCTTTTTAGCTTTCGAAAGGGAGAAAATAGATTCGACTTCCTATTACTATGAAAAGAAAATTTATGAATATGATAAGGTCCTAATAGATTCATATGCATATGGTATTTTGAAAATTGATGAATGTTTAGATGCAAATGATCTTGTTGATATTGTAAATGAGACCCTGACCAAAAATGAAAAAATCAAAATTTTGAAAAGAACTGAAAATTTGACATCTAAGTCTCCTAACAGTTTTGCTGATATCGAAGATGATTATGACGATATGAATGAAACTGAGGCAGAAGAAGTTGTTGACTGTTCTCATTTATCTATCATTAATGTCACTTATCTAGCAAAGGGTAAAAAATGTAATGATTCTTTGGTTAAAATTGAAACTGATCAAACCTTGAGATCGAAAGTTCATGATCCTGACCATGTGACTGTTGAAGATACTCAAATAGACAGTGACGATGATAATGACGATGTCTCGAAAGATACAACAATACCACGAGTTGTTGTTGATTAGGTCTGTGAGGAAACTGAGAAGTTTGACAAAATACTGAAAGAAAAGGGTCCTCATTATCTTGAAACAAATATTGTTGTGTATCCAAACATCAAATGCTTAGATGAAGTTATCTTCCCAAAATCTGGTGTTTGTTACCTCAAGAAATGGTGATAAAGTTAAACTTGAAATCAACAAAATTGTTGAAGAGGATAACAAGGAACTTTCTAAAGAAGGATTTTTCTCAACTCAAAGCACTGTCGAAAATAATATTAACAAAAACTCATCTATGTTTCAAAAAAAAAACCTCATGGAAATTGAGTTGTTAAAACTGCAAAACCAAAAGAAGAAAAACAATTAAATGAACCAGTTTTTCAAAATTCAAAGCAAAAGGGTCAAAATTTCAACGAACAAATTGAAAAGATTTCAAAAGAACATGAAATTTCGAGGACTAAAGTTAGAAAGAAGGTTTATTGGCAAAATATTGAGCCTCGAAAGAAACAAAGTGTTTTGACAAATAAATCGTCTGAAACTATTGAGTGTATATCATATCAGAATCAAAAAGATTTGTCTAAAACTCAATCACAAGATTCGAAGTCCAGTTCAAAAACTAAACAAAGAGAATTTTGTAAAACACCAACAGTCAAAGAATTTTGTTCATTATTCTCAAAACAACCGATTTTCACAAAATAATTTTCAAAGAAATGGTTTTCAACCAAATAAACAAAAGAAAATTTCTCAATTTACTAAACAACAAATATTTTCAAATGGTTCACAAAATTTTCATCACTCTAATGTTGGTTATCAAAAACACTTTCAAAATCGTTTTCAATCACAAGTCAAATCTGATTTTCCAAAACATCAATTTGAAAAGTTAAATGTCAATGCAAAGAAAAATGTGATGTTTAAACCCACCCAGCCTCAATTTCCCAATCCATCTCCGAAGAAAGCAAGTAATGTTTCATTTCCAAAAGGAACAACCAATATCAAAGACATCAATCATCGGTTGGAAGGGAATGGCAAAGTTTATCAAAATGTGAAGTTTTCACAAGAAGAAATCAAGGTTGCTTATGAAAGTTATTTGAATGAGTCTTCTAATGGAAGTACATCATCAAAAGAGTCGAATCCATCTACTCGATAATGGAAAGCTTCTCCAAAAACAAAAGTTAATGTGAAACGAACTGAGAAGGTTAAAAGGAAAGTTAGTGTTGATTCTAAACCGACAAATACTTTTATTTCTCTACCCTCCTGTAACGAAGTAGACTTAATTGATAGTTTGAAATCAAAAGTTCGTAATTGGGTTTTAGGATCTTCATTTCATCATGCATTTTGCTTTAATAACCAAGGACGCAAACAGCCTTGGGGACCTAAATTCTTTCATTGATTGCAGGTTTTGTGTGACGAGAAATATGATGACAATTGGTACATTGATAGTGGTTGTTCTCGTCACTTGACTAGAAAGAAGGAAAACCTTAGAGATTTTCGAAGTCTGGAAGATGTTGGAGTGATGAAGTTTGGAAATAATAACAAATGCAAAGTAAAAGGATATGGCCAAGTAAGGAATGGCAAGTTTACAATTAAAAGAGTAGCATATGTCGAAGGTCTACAACAAAAAGTGTTTCACAACTTGTTGTGGGCGCTAGCAATTAGGTGGTTTTTAATTAAGAAGGAAGTGTGATTTCGAACATAGACACAAAAGAGGTTTTACTCAAATCAAAAATAAAAGGTGATATGTTTACTCTTGATATCAAGCATATTGCACGCGTTCCCTCAATTTGCTTACTTTCGAAATCATCATCAGACATCAGTTGGCTATGGCATCGAAGACTTTCTCACTTGAATTTCAAGAATATAAATAAACTGGTCATCAATGATCATGTTCGTGGTTTGCCTGCATTATAATTTGATAATGATACTTTATGTGCAGCTTGCGAACAAGGGAAGTAACATAGACAAGGTCATCCGATTGTCATTGATTCGAAGATTGTTGACCATCTGGAACTTCTTCATACTGAACTTTGTGGTCCTTCAACTGTTGAAACTCTAAACAAAAAGAGGTACATCTTGGTTATTATTGATGATTCTTCCAGGTTTATGTGGGTGTATTTTCTTCGGTTAAAATCAGAAACAGCTCAAGCAATGATCGATTTTATCATGAACATAGAAGTGAGTTTAAAGAAAAAGGTTCGTAAGATTAAGAGTGGCAATAGGAAACCAAATACTTCATTCATCATCGTTTTAATACAATCCCTTATGAAATCATTAACAATAGGAAACCAAATGTAAAATTTTTCAATGTTTTTGGTTGCACATGCTTCATTATGAATCTCAAGGATAACCTTTTGAAGTTTCAGCCAAAAGCTGACGAAGGGATATTTATGGGATATTCTCATAATTCTGTTGCATACAGGGTGTTAAACAAATAAACCAGGAAAACTGAAGAAACTTTTATTCTTTATTTTCAAGATCATTATGTTAAAATAATTGAAAATTTATTTGAACAAAAACCAATTGTAAATGAATCGAATGATGATACTCAAAGTATGAATTCTCTAGATTTTGATTATCATTTCATTTTTGGTGTTCCTGACAGGGCTATTGACGTAGAAGTTCATGATGATGATAATCAAGGACCTGAAACATCAAAGCATACTGATGATTCGACTATTATCCAGGATGTTGTTGAGAAGAACTCTTCAACGACTTCTCCAATGATTAACGAAAGTTAACCAGAGATACCGAATGCTCAAGTGGAGGGGGAGCACTTTCCTTCAAATAGTAGTGTTGAGGGGGAGCATACTTTCGAGGGGAAGCAAGATCAATTAAATGATGATGTTGAAGGGGAGCATCCTGTTATTAATCCAATTGTAGAGGGGGAGCAAAATGAATTTTACCAAATACTACGCATATTTATACTATTGTTTTTCATAACATACATAATAATATGTCCATTGTAGGCGAAGGATCTGAAACAGATGAAACATTCGAAGATGCATCGTTAGATTTGGATCCTACATATCAACCAATGAATAGAGGGACAAGAAGTCATCCAAACGA